TGCAACAATGTTATATCGCATGACTTAAAGATATAAGGAGGACTACAAATGGCAAGTCTGCAGCTCCTACGAGCTAAATAAAGAAAGAGGAAGTTAAAGCGACTTAGTCAAGCAAAGCTTAAAAAATGACGTAGTGAAATCTTGTGTCTAGGTTTGAGCAAACAGAAATACCTAGTAAATGAGTAAGAACTATTAACTTAACGAAAACGCAAGGGGAAACAGAGGTAACCTTTTCAAAGGCGATCCTTTTACACTTTTCTCCAGTAGTCCAAATCCAACGGGACTGTGTCTAGTTGAGCGTCAACAGGAACAGATTGCAGCGCCATCCAGTTCACTTTCGCAGCCCCACTAGAACCATCTCCGTACTCCAAAACACAAACTGTAAATTCTTTATTATCCACAGATTCCACCCAAATAGCCGCGCCATCTCCACCACCATAACACTTTGTTGTGTGGCTTTTTGGAAACGAAAACTTTCACATCCTGCCCGCCATTGAAAGGCTTCTCAAAGGAAACCTTTTCACACGCAAACAGACCAGGAGTAGTAATGGTGACCTTGCATATTCCAGTTTTGATACTCAGCGCTGGGAAATACAAAAAGTAAAAATAATAAAAAATAAGTGTAAAAACAAAATACAGAGATGAATATTCTCTTTATACCTTCAACGTCTTGGTAAGAAAGTGCAGCTACGAAGAAGAAAGCCGACAACAACTGCACACGGACTTCTTGCTTGGTACACATCTTGCTTCAAATGAAGAAAAATCCACTCTGTTGAACATTATACCTCTTAGCAATACGTGGCAATATAGTCCAACTTGTTTGTACGTGTTTAGAAGATCTCATTTGCTTTGTTTGTGGGGGGGGGGTAAAAATCTTTGAGGTAAGTCAATTGTAAGATTTATGCGGAAACTTAGAAGGGTAGGCACGTGGGTCCAATCACTGCACTGTCACCACTACCATGGCAATGTATTGAAAAATGCAGGGAAGAGGTTCCTCTGTTCTTCTGTTTCCTTTAGGTCCTAAAATCATATTTTCAAGTAATAATTTTAGGACCTAAAATTTTAACTTTGAAACGCTTCCAGTTAATCTGTCAGGACATTTTATACTATATATATATAAAGGCAAAAACACAACATCCCACTGAGGAATACGGGAATTTGTGTGAACCTAGAGCACTTATAATTTTGAATAAAAAAAAACCAAACGAAGATTATATCATTTGTTTTATGTGCCCAAAATTTTCACAGACAGTTATTAGGTGAGGTCTCCGCCACGAAATTGATAGCCGACTTCATCATTTCCATGATGCAAGTCAATTACTGAATTATTTTGAATCCGAAAAAATTATTTTATTTACCCCCGCCACAACAAAAAGTTAATATTTTGATTTAAAGATAATCTAGGGCGAATCTCGACCACAGAAAGCTGTATTTTTTTTTTCTTTCCATACTTAGATGATTAAGTCTTACGAAGACGCACATTACATCGAAACAAGCGGGCAGGAAGGTTCCATCTTGCCCTACTGAGGTGTAGCTTGTTACAGCAAAGGATTTACCGGCTTCACCCTGGCCACTTTACAGAGCAAGCAATGAAGCAAGAGATATTCATTGAAAACATTTGCGAGTTAGTTATGTGGCATTAACAAGTTGTTCAGATTTGCATTTCAATATTCAGTTTATCGAGTCCGCACACTTTTTTATTCCCTTGTATGTATATTTAGTTTGCTTATAACGTCTGAATATTTGCTTAAAATCAAAATTTTCATGGCTTTTATTAGAAGCAGTGTTTTCGTCGAGAAATTAACCAAAGTATTAAAAGACAAATACTTTCCTCTTACTTTTGAATGCTTGAAATATTGATACGCTGAATTTCATTTACCCAAACCAAGACAATTATACTGAGATCCGAAAATTGTAATCAGGATACTTAATTACAATTTAGTTCGCATAAGACAGGGGCACCCAACGAGGATATAGTTCAAAACCACTTAACATAGCATTGTTGAACGTATTTTAGTATTCAAACGGTAGATATAGGCATATTTTTATCCCCTAAAAACTTTTCATCTGTTCGGATTTCCTAGCTGAAAATCTAGTGATCCGAAAATTATAGGGATAAAAACTTACCTTCTCAAAAATTTCAGCCAGGAAAAGGCTCCCGAAAATTCTAGGTGGCCTTTTTAGGGTCAAAAATCCGTTAAAAATGAGTAATTATACCATTTTGTAGATGTTCGAAAATCCTAAGAGAGGCAGGCAAGCAAGAAGTTTTACAACAAATGCTCCGAAAATTCTAGTTCTCAAATCGTCTTCCGAACAGATATTTTCCCGAAAATTGCCGTTGGGTGCCCCTGATAAGACCACGCAACGATCGTTAGAATTCTGCTTAGCCAGTGTGTTATACTCCTCAAAGCCGAAAAAAAGAAAGAAATTTCAAGGACTCGGTACCGGTATGGCCGCTAGTCGCATTTAAAAACCTTTATTGTTTAGACTCAGTGTGGTCCTCTTAATTGTCCAACCTCGACTTAATTTAATATTTCGCCATAAAGTTTGCGATTCAAGGGAATTATCCTCTTTCGCCGTATTTCTCCTTCATAGCGACCTCAACATAGGTTTGTTCATAGTTATTAGAGGAGACTGGTTATGAAAAGCGGCAAACATCAGTGATAAAAACAACAGTGCTGCAGTTTATGTTGAAAGCACCCTTAAAGTACACAATCCTTTGTTTTCTGTTGGCAAATTGTTACGGAATAAATTAATGCAACGTTTTTATTGGTCAATACAATCAAAATGATAGGAATTCTTTAGAACGTTGTGCACTTTCAGGTCCACAAAAACATATAACAAAGGAGTCTGACGGGTTCATCACCATTCCACTCAATTAACTATGGGTTTGTTACCCCATGTTATCTCAAGACGAACGACTTCTGCGAGACAAAGGTAAATAACTATTCTCGTTCCAACGCGTTGTCTATCTCAGAAACTATGAAGAGGTCCAGTGATTTGTTATTTTCGTTATTTTTTTAAAAGGAGGAAATATTGTTACGGATAAGCATAGGTTACAAAAGGTACGTTCAAAATCTTAGAGTTATTCTTTTCAGTGGTAAATCCAGGATATGCCGGGGTTAATTTTCCCCTCTTACAGATGTTTATTTTGCATAAGGACAACATGACAAATACGTAAGAATCGGTGCCTAAACATTTGTTAAATTTCTGTTAAAAGATAATGTGTAATCTAATTTCCGTTCCTTTTTTCTATTGCAATATTATTATGACTTAAACTTCCACTTTTTTTAGGCTAAAAAAATTAGATTACTGCAGATTAGTGATAATTGTGACCTCTCACGCGAAAACGTACACTAACGGCTTCCCGTTTTCGAACGGAAATCCGTTCACAAGCCGTTTCTCATCCGTTCAGAAAAAATTGGCATCCGTTCGAACGGCTTGGGCGATCCGTTTAAAAAGGAAGTCAAGCCGTTCGAACGGCTGTGTAATCCGTTCACAAAAATTGCCCAACCGTTCGAACGGCTAGTGTACCCGTTCGGAAAAATTTGCATCCGTTCGAGCGGTTTGGTCATCCGTTCACAAAAATCATCCATCCGTTCGAACGGCTTGTGCCATCCGTTCAGAAAAATTGTCTATCCGTTCAAACGGCTGTGACACCCGTTCAGAAAAATTTGAATCCGTTCGAACGACTTGGTCATCCGTTCAGAAAAATTATCCACCCGTTCAAAACTTCAATCAGTTGGAACCGTTCATTCAAAGGCCTTGGATCATAATTAATTTTACGCTGTTCAGATGGCCTTATGCAGTGCCTTGTGGTCGGTCGTTTGCGAAACGAAGACACGAAATGGTAGTTTGCGAAATCTTGTTCCAGCCGTGCTTCGTTGCTTTCTTGCCGTAACGTAACATTGATCTCGAACCAAGCGTAAAATTCAGAACCGACCGAAAAAAGTCTGACAGAGCGACAAAAATTAATACTGTCTTGTGTAAACAACTGTTTCACCGCAATTGTTGAGTCGAAAACGTGTTCCTCTGATCCCAGGTAAACTACTAAGAAACTATTGGTGGAAGTGGCGATTTAACTCGTTTAATGACCCGCTGTCAGAATCACGGGAAACAGTCTACCAAACGAAGAGAAAAGGCAGCCTCGTACCCAGGCCTGTTCGCGCTATCCGAGTGACCAGAGGAGGCTTGGAACCGAGCGCGATAGCGCGAGGCCTGGCAAAAAATGGCAAAAAAGTCCCAGATCGACGAGAAAAAGTCCCAGATAATTTCTCGACGAAAATCCTTTGTTTTCTGCGACGATCACGGAATATTTCGGACTCATGAGATTAATACATCTCTTCCGAGCATCTTTGGACCGTTTCAACTGATAGCAACGAAATGTGGCGGGCATGTTTTCCCCAAAACACTGGTAAGTTAAGCATATTGTTTACAGTCTTGTTCGCTACACGAAACCAGAAAAAAGTTTCTTCGTAGTTGGGCATGGGACGATCACTGTACACTGTATGTACACTAGTATCAAAGGCTTCATTTTCATTGAACAAAATGGGCGTTGATTTCCTAGTTACAGGGCTATAGTGGGCTTATTTTGCCTTTGTTGTTCGAATCGTTGGTAGGAGAAAATCACGAGAATCATTTACACGGTTTCGCGCGAAAAGCCAAAAAAAAAAACACTACATGCCATTTTCAGCTGTTTGAATATGCTTTTTGCACTTTATAATATCCTAGTACCTTGAACCTATACCTTGCAGCTCCCAGTTCATGCAGAACATTCTACTGAATAGTCTATTTTGAAAATAGCACCAGTAACTCATGTAATATTCGGGTGTCTTAGTTTTACCTGATTTTTAATGATATGACCATTCAGTCCTTTATGTGATTGCGACTTAGAGCGATTTTACTTCACCCATGAAACATTTAATAACAACTAGTGCAAAATATAGCTACAAATAAACAAAAGAAGACAATAGAATTAGTGTATCACTCTGAAGGAGGTTGCAATTTTAGAGATGGGAAAATTTTGGATAATTGACACCTGCCTGACAGGCATAATTTCTGAGCAAGGTATTGTACATCAAATGTTTAGTTTTTTATTATATATTGTCTATTTTTTTTACCTTCCTTTACATTAATTTTCAGAAAGTTTTAAAGGGGATGAAAGGAGAGCATGTAATAGACGACACTGGGGATGGAAAGGATACAGGAGCAAAAGGAAAATGTAATTCAGCTGAAGAAAACTTGAAATGAAAATAAAAATATGAAACCGTGATGTTTAATATTGAATTTCCCAGATTTCATCAAACAAAACTTTATTGATTTTATAAGGAAATTAGATTGATTTCCTAACAAGCCATAGTTCTGAACACTTGTGAAATTTGTTAAGAGAAATTTTTTGAACCTGATAACAACTACTTCTTGTCTTGTAAAGCTTGTTGTGGGAATGGGTTGGGGAAACAACTTAAAGACCAACTTAAGACCTTTTTCCACTTAATTTGATGCCACAATGGTACCATTGGCTGGGCCAGCTACATGCCATTTTCAGCTGTTTGAATATGCTTTTTGCTCTTTATAATACCCCAGTGCCTTGAACTTGTATCTTGCAGCTCCCAGTTAATGCAGAACATTCTAATATTGTCTATTTTGAAAATAGCACCAAAAACTCATGTAATATTCTTTTTAAACTTATGACTCACTGGAAGACCACTGCTGCGAAAGTGGTTCGAGATAAAAATAGAAAACAGAAAAAAAAAAAGGAAAGCACTTAATTTGAGTGTCAATGTATTCAGCACGAAAGTAATAATAGGGGACACTATTTTTACGTCTACTACTGCCATTTTACGTAGTCATGCATCCGAGCCACGCAAAGGTCTAGCCATTTGCAGCAGGGCAAAGGTAATACCTTCATTTCTCAATCACTTTAAGATCCTGAGTATTGGTCCGACCCCGGGAATTGAACTTCTGACCTCTCACTCTGCAGTCAAGCACTCTAACAACTGAGCTAATCCTACCACGGTTGAGATTAAGTTTACATGAGATAGTAGTACAGTGGAACATAGATATGGGGTCGTGCAACATCAACAACAATAGAATCAGACATTGATAGAATCACAAAGAAAGCTTGGCTGAAAGTTTTCAACAGTCCCCAAAGGATCATCTCATTTAAATGGTGGGTAGATACACTGGTTGAAGATAACTTGGATATAGAATTAAATTTTATTCATGCTAAATGCTATAAAAGCATGGACACAAAGTGTTTTACATCTGATGCCGTTTCAGGATATTTGAACGCTCCTGATGTTACAGTATGTTGTAAACTGCCCCTATAGCTTGTATCCGCCACATTGAGGCGTATCCGAAAGCTGACAGCACTTTATGACTTCTGTTTTGTATATTTAATGGGCAAAAGCAGCGTCTATGAGTAGATCCACTATCGTTTAGGACGACACCTAGGCTAGAAGTCTCTTTTGAATTACAATGCGCGCAGTGCTGCGATTCGATTAACAAGTTTTTCATCCGCTAGATAATATGCTGAGTACAGAGCTAATTCGATGACACATCTTTCACGAACTTCAACATGGTTTAACTCATTCCCGACAGGCAATGGAACACACTCCTGAGATGGAACGATTTGTTGTGCTGAATTAAATCCATATTTTTTGATACAATCAAAACTCGAAATTACTGACCTACGATAACAACAGGTGTACACGCGGAACGATTCCTTCAAAGAAATTCCTCCAACATCTCTATGTATTTGATGGCAAACGTTGATTAAAGAATCCCAACCTATTTCAGACGCTTTTTTTTCATTTCTTCAAGAATCTTGGCTGAAGTCGCATTCTTGGCTTGACGCCGCCATTTTGGATTTGCCATTATTTGCCAGGCGTCCTAGGCGAATTTTCCCGCCAAGCTTGACAGGTGACGTCACATCCGAAATCGCCGAGGACGACTGGGAACGAGGCTGGAGAAAAGGGTTTTACCAGTAACACTTTCTGATCTTTCTGATCGCGAATGAAATTTGAGTCACTTGCAAAACTCGTTGCCTAGCACGTGACCAACATCTACTCAGTCAAGCATCTGATGATTTATTTTTCGTGAACCAAAACTCTCGTCATTTTTTAAAAGGCCTTAGATTTTTTTGCAAAGAACAGTGTACAACTATGGCATAGTTCTATGAAGCGACGGTTTGTTGCTCGTTTGCCAGCACGGGTGAGAATCACGACAAGCGTGACATCTCGAAGTTTTCTCTGGCGACGTGACGCTACGCAATTATTAGTTTCGAAACGGTCTGCTATATGATGCAAGCTTTACTTTCATTCATAATTCGATATTCAAAAATACTTACCGCTGCCAATTTATTCATCGTGATTTGAGCTTTTTAACATTATTTCTATTCACGTTTTCCATTTGTGATGGCCATAGCAAGTTTTTATTTAAAAGCATCAAAGCGTTTAATCGCTCTTTTTTTTGTTGTTTGTCTAGGACAAGTTTGTTTATATTCTGCGTGGCGAAAAAAACTCACCCGTTCATGGCCCGTTCAATTGGAAACAGCAATAATAAAAGTATTGTAGAATTTCTGCAACTTGTCCAAAGGTAAATCTGCGGCAAATGACCGGCATTCGAAAACAATTATTAATGTGACCTCTCACGCGAAAACGTACACTAACGGCTTTCCGTTAAACGGGTGAAACGCACGGCTGTCGAACGGGTAAGAAACGGCCCACGAAGCCGTTTGAAACGGATGAAACCGAACGGCTGAACGGCTAATAATTTATTCCGAACGGATTGGTATGACAGCTGAACGGCTAGCGAAAAATTTCGAACGGATGGTAATCACGTCTGGACGGGCAAAAAAAATTTTCGAACGGTAGACCTGAACGGCTGAACGGCAGGAGTAAAATTTCGAACGGATGGTCCTGAACGGCTGAACGGCTCGTCAAAAACTTCGAACGGATGGTAATCACGGCTGAACGGCTAAAAAAAGTTCGAACGGTTGTCTGCATTGACAAAATTATTACCCAATGTATTTATATATTTGCGTGACATAGAGGACATTTGGCTAGACCGTGGATATATACTACTCGGTATGAAAAGTGAATATGGGAAAACCGCTGCAAAAAAACCTTCTTGCTCTATGAGCGCTTTACATTAGGTATAAATGTTGTTCATTTCTATCGCCAATACAACTAATATAAACACTTTCAGGTCCACAAAAACATATAACAAAGGAGTCTGACGGGTTCATCACCATTCCACTCAATTAACTATGGGTTTGTTACCCTATGTTATTTCAAGACGAACGACTTCCGCGAGACAAAGGTAAATAACTATTCTCGTTCCAACGCGTTGTCTATCTCAGAAACTATGAAGAGGTCCAATGATTTGTTATTTTCGTTATTTTTTTAAAAGGAGGAAATATTGATACAGATAAGCATAGGTTACAAAAGGTACGTTCAAAATCTTAGAGTTATTCTTTTCAGTGAGAAATCCAAGATATGCCGGAGTTAATTTTCCCCTTTTACAGATGTTTATTTTGCATAATGACAACATGACAAATTACGTAAGAATCGGTGCCTAAACATTTGTTAAATTTCTGTTAAAAGATAATGTGTAATCTAATTTCCGTTCCTTTTTTCTATTGCAATATTATTATGACTTAAACTTCCACTTTTTTTGGGCTAAAAAAATTAGATTATTGCAGATTGGTGATTACCCAATGTATTTATATATTTGCGTGACATAGAGGACATTTGGCTAGACCGTGGATATATAATACTCGGTATGAAAAGTGAATATGGGAAAACCGCTGCAAAAAAACCTTCTTGCTCTATGAGCGCTTTACATTAGGTATAAATGTTGTTCATTTCTATCGTCAATACAACTAATATAAGCACTGAAAATCACAGTTGCGCGGTTGGTTGTCCCTCAAGATACCACTCACCTCATGATTACTTCCTGATATCTCTGTTTAGAACTTTGTAATAAAAAGAAGAATAACCTTGGTCTTAACTTTGTCGGACAGGCTGATAGCCTGAAAAATTAACCTAAACTTTCTTGGTCAGAACTAATTTTCGGACGTAGTGCAGTCATTTCATCAAGCAGTCGAGAGTATACAAAACGTCACGGTGAACTCAACCTATAATACGCCCATATACATTGAAATCAAACATTTGTTTAGTCATGAAAAAAGAAAATTCAGATTTAGGGTATTTTCACTATGTCAATTCAACGTGCCATTGCTAATCGGCTTTTTTTTCTCGAAAGTAGATGTCAGTCTAGATTCACAACGTTTTGGAGTCATTCTACTCCCGTGTAAAAGATGAAAGTGCTGGTGTTTAAATATAAAGTTAACAAAATGCAAAAAAAACATTATAGAAAGGATATTTTTACAATAACTGAATTATATCTCGCACGCTGATTGGCTAATTGTTATTATCATTAAGAGGACAAACACACATAAAATTTTAAGTTTTATAATGCAAGACGCGGTCATTTGCAGAACGAATGTCGACCTTCGGTGTTTTTTGCTTGGTTTAGTTTCGTAGAAGATTCACTTTCTGTTCTCTGAGAATAATAGCCAGAAACTTCTGATGCAAGACTTGCATCCCGTTTGATTCTCTGCTAAAAAGTAAGAGGAAAACCAAACAAGACTCAGTTTCAAAAGCAGGGACGACTTTCTAGAAATGGTACAGTTTCAAACGGGTTAATGTTTAATGTTTTTTAATGTTCGTAAAAATCAAAAAGTAAGAAAACAATTCTGAAAGTCATTAGTTTATTAAAATAAGACACATTTATAACGGTAGTTTCTTTTGACAAGAACTGAGTGTTTTCTGATCCTTTTTTCCGAAAGCAAAACAAACTTTTGTACAAACTTTATGAAACTTTGTAAATTACCTGGTAAGTTGAATTTAAAACTTCGTGACTATAATACCCACCTTCGGTTTGATTGTACACAGCTCATATAGCTGAATGGCATTCAGGACGACAAACAAGTCGAGAACTGAAGTAAACAACCAACCGTACGATTTCTGTTCGTACTGATCGGTTAACAACTCTTCTAAACTGCCAGGCTAGTTTGATCTACAGATAGTTTAACCGTACATTGCTTCGATTTGTTCGTTTTACTATAGCGGCTCCAAAATCTTTCCTTGAATAATATTTTAACCTTAGCCTGGGCTAGAAGTTTACGACTTTATACAGCCCTAAAAATACCTCCGTTTTTCTAAGCAACAAATATCGCTGATCTCATTCTTGTTTGAAGTTTACCAAAAACAAATTTATGCAGGGCAGTGAGGTGACTCAACCTGTCAAGTTTTTAGCCAATAAAAAACCGTTACTTGTTATCAGTAGCCAATCACCAAATGAGAAAAGTTATTGACAAGAACATTTACTTAGTTTAAAAAGTCAAATTTTCTTGTGTTGTCTTCATTTTACCGGCAATATTTGACTTTTTCGAGCTTTTGTTATTGTATGCGGCTCGTGGATCCACAACACTTTGACAGTAGTTAGGAAAATGGGTATCCTGGATCATACTTCGAATTTTCAGAATTGCATTAAAAAAACTAATAAAATCCCAGAATATGCAAGGGAATTTAAAAATGAATATCTTTTTATAAGAGGTATTAATAAGGAAATGGATAATTTTGTAGTAAATTATCTTTCAGATTGTAGTGAGCTTTTTGTTTCTAGTTATAATGATAAAATTAATTTTTTTATAAAACAATTTATGAAAGCTCAAGATCTTGGTTATCTTAGGGATACTAGTTGTTTTAAATTTAAAGAGTGTGATGTTGAAAATATAGTCTTTTTATTTGAAAGAATGAATTTTGATTTTGAAGAAGATGAAGAATTTGTTGATGGTCATCCTGATGATTATCCAGGATATAGAGATTTTTATGAGTTGTTTTGTAAATTTTACGATAAAATAAATTTTGATAGTGATAGTGATAGTGATAGTGTTAATATTGAGGATATATTAAGTGGTTATGAAGATTCTGAAACTGATAGTGATTAAATAATAACTTAAACATTTACGTCTTATAATATAATCTTAATATTATAAGACGTCATGTCTAACCAATTAACTGATGGTTTCCAAGGTTCTCAACCTTTTATAACAGATAAACAATTTCAGAATTTATCTTTGGATGAAATAAGACATATTATTGAAGAAGAAAAAGAAGAACTTAAGAAAGATTATAAGGAATTAGGAGAAAGAAAAAAATTAATTAAACAATATAAAAATTAAAAGAAGCTAGAGAAAAAGTGAGAAAAGGAATTGATATAAAAAGTCTCTAAAAAGAAAGCCACTGTAAAAAGACGCCCCTTCTGAACAGAAAAAGATAAAATCATTTGACGAGTATTTTGAGGAATGTATAAAAAATAGACAGATCCCCAAAGATACTCCTTCTTATTTTCGTGAAGCTCTTGAGCGAGCTATTTTAGAATATGACCAAGGACTTGTAAAAGAAAAATCAGCTTTTTGAAGACTTTGCTGTTAAGTATATTATTGAAGGAATTCCTGGTCTTACTCCACTTGAGTATTTTAAACAAATTTATAAAACTTTAAAAGATTTTTTTACATATCATCGAAATATTAAATTTAAGATGATTTTGGTTTGTTTAATGGAAAACAAAAATTGAAAAAGATAAGGGAGTTGTTGGATTAGAAGAAGATAAAGCGTACTTTACTTCAGGAACACTTATTAATATTAAATCAACAGATGTAGAGAAATTAATTGATATTTGTATAAATACTATTGAAGGAGGTATAGAAGCATATCAACAAACTGGAAGTGCATGGTATTTAAAGAAGTGTATAAACTTGAAATTCATACTGTTGAATATAATCCAATAAAGGGATCATCTTACATTCCTCTTCCAGATTGGATATCAAATAAAAAAGCAATTGTTAATATTAAAAACAGAGATGACAAATGCTTTATTTGGAGTATTCTTAGATATCTTTATCCAAAAGAAAAAGATGCTCAATATTTGAAAGACTTAAGAAAGTATGAGTTTTCACTTAACACTAAAGGTCTTACTTTTCCATTGAAATTAAAAGACATTACCAAATTTGAAAAACTTATCCATCTCTTCCAGGAATTAATGTTTTTCAGTTAATGAAAACAAAAAGTTTTATCCTTTGAGGATGGCAGAAAAGACTGTCTAAATATTATTGACTTGTTTTTCTTTGAACAAGATGGTGTTTCTCATTATTCACTAATTAAAAACTTTACTCGTTTGATTAAGACGCAAAAACTGCAAGTAAGAATGGTTCATTTTATATTTGTAAAAAGTGTCTTACACATTTCACTAAGGATGAATTATTACAAAAAACATATCACATATTGTTCAAATAATGAAACAGTTTGTGTAAATATGCCTAAAGAAAACACAATGTTACATTTCAAAAATTACTACAAACAACTTTCAATTCCTTTTTGTAGTTTATGCAGATTTTGAATGCTTTTACCAAACCAACGAATACTTGCAGTCCTAATCCAAAAAGATTCGTATAATTACAACTACCAAAAGCATGAACCCTCAGGATTTTGTTTTTATATAAAAGGAGTAGTAGATACAATATTTGAACCAATTATTTACACAAAAACTAAAGACAGTGATGATGTAGCTAAGATATTTGTTGATAAACTTGCAAAAGTAACCAATAAGATATATAATGATTTTTATCGTAGACCAATACCTCTTAGACTAACACGAGCCGAACAAAAATCATTTGATGAAGCTGAAACCTGTCATATTTGTAAGAAAGAATTATTAGATGATAAAGTTAGAGATCATTGTCATTTTACTGGTCAGTACCGTGGTGCAGCTCATAACAGTTGTAATCTTCAGTGTCGAAAGCTAATGATTCTTCCAGTTATATTTCATAATCTTCAAGAATATGATGCTCATTTGTTTATAAAACAACTTGCTTGTTTACCAGGTGAGTTAAACTGTATTCCATCAACAGAGGAAAAATATATTTCCTTTTCTAAAAAGATTAAAGTTGATGAGTACAGGTCTAGACGCAATGGAGAAATGATTCCATTATATTTTGAAATACGATTTATTGATTCATTTAAGTTTCTTCAAACATCACTTGCTAATCTAGTTGGAAATAATTTACAACCAGATGATTTTCATAATACAAAACAAATATTTAAGGAAAATGTAGGCCTACTAACTCGTAAGGGAGTTTATCCTTATGACTATGTTTCATCATTTGAAAAACTATCCGAAACACAATTACCTCCAAAAGAAGAATTCTATTCAAAGCTAAATGATGAAGACATAACTGATGATGATTACCAATATGCTAAAAATGTATGGAATACTTTTGAATGTAAATCAATAAGAGATTATCGTAATCTTTACCTAAAGTCTGATGTCCTACTTTTATCAGATGTATTTGAAAACTTTAGAAAAACTTGTTTGAAACATTATAATCTAGATCCAGCTCATTATTACACATCTCCTGGACTTGCTTGGGATGCATGTCTCAAAGAAACAGGCCAAGAATTACAACTGTTGCATAACTATGATATGTTGATGATGTTTGAGCGAGGTATTCGTGGTGGAATATCTCATATATCAAAAAGATATGCAGTAGCAAATAACAAATATATGAAAAATTACGATCCTAATGAGGAGTCTAGTTATATTCAATATCTTGATGCAAACAATCTTTACGGATGGGCAATGTCACAACAACTTCCAACACATGGATTTAAATGGATGAGAAACCTAACAAAAGACACTGTAATGGATATCTTGGATAAAGCAAATCATAGTATGTCAAATCGTGGAAGAAAAGGATATATATTTGAAGTAGATTTGGAATATCCTTCAAACCTGTGGGAATCACATAATGACTATCCACTTGCACCTGAAAAGATGATTGTTAATGGTGTTGAAAACCTAATTTGTCATTTTAAACCAAGAAAAAACTATGTTGTACATTATCGGAATTTCAGGCAATATCTTGAGATGGGCATGACAATAACTGCTGTTCACAGAGGAATATCATTCTATCAAAGTTCTTGGATGGAACCTTACATAAGAAAAAATACAGAACTTCGAAAAACAGCAGCCAATAGTTTTGAGAAAGACTTTTTCAAACTAATGAATAATTCCGTATTTGGAAAAACAATAGAAAACATAAGGAAAAGACAGAATATATTTCTTATTGATGATCGTAAGAAAGCTGCCAAACTATCAAGTCGTCCAAACTTTGATAGAGCAACAATATTTGATAAAAATCTTATTGCGGTTCATATGAAAAAAACAGAAGTGTATTTTAACAAACAAGTATATGTTGGACAAGCAATACTTGATCTGTCAAAAACATTAATGTTTGATTTTCATTATAACTATATTCAGAAGAAATATAAACACAAGGCTGAGTTATTGTTTACAGATACCGATAGCTTGATGTTTCAGATTTACACAGATGATTTTTACAAAGATATACCCTGTGATATATTAGAGAAGTTTGACACATCTGATTATCCTCCTAATCATCCATCTGGAATACCAACAGGAGTTAACAAAAAAGTAATAGGGATGTTTAAAGATGAAGTAGCAGGAAAACAAATAACTTGTTTCGTTGGATTGCGACCCAGACTTTACAGTTTTAGAATTGAAGAAGATAAAGAAGTACGTAAATGTAAAGGAATAAAGAAAAATGTTATAAAAAAGAAATTAGATTTTGATGACTATGTTCAATGTTTATTTTTGGGTAAAAAACAAATGAGAAAAACGAAAATAATAAGAAGTGAAAATCATGATATATATTCAAAAGAAGTTAACAAAATAGCTCTAAGTAATGAAGATGATAAACGCACGGTGATTGAAGACAAAGTGAATACGATGGCTTTAAGATAAAGTTTCAGTAAATAAAGATGGGTTACATTTTCTTTAACAAAACTAAATTTTATTCTCATCCTATTTATGATAGTTATTACGCGAGTAAAAAAGGGGAAATCTATAGCAGTAAGAGTAATAAGATATTAAAACTGGGGACTCATACTAATGGTTATTTGTTTTTTTATTATTTTTAACAAAACAAAAACAAAAAATTATCTGGTTCATAGATATGTTTTTGAATGCTTATGTGGGAGTATACCAAAAGATAAAGTGGTCGTCCACATAGATAATAATATGAAAAATAATCGTATTGATAATTTACAGTTATTAAGTCAAAAGGAGAATTTGAATAAATGCCGTTGTAAGAATAAAACAAAAGAAATACAAATTAATTGTGGTGGTAAAAGGGAAGAGATATATAAGTTAAATAAAAAAATAATAATAATAAATGACTTACACAAAAGAAGAAATAGAAAAATATTTAGAAATATTAAGAAGTTACAATAACACCCAATCAGAAGAGAAAGAAAATAAAAAAGTTAAATGTAGTAATTGTCAAAGCAATAGTTTTACTATTGAATCAGGTTATAAAATTTGTGATTACTGTGGAGTAGCAAACGGTCATGTATTAGGTTTTTACGATGTTAAAGATTATGATAGATTACATTTTCGAAAAAAGAGTATTTGTCAGAGAAAATATCACTATGAGAAAAAGGTTAATCAAGTTTCTAAAAGAATAAACCTAACTGATGAACAAAAATATGAACTTTACAAAAAACTAATGGAAATAGACAATAATGTTATGGAAATACTAAACAAAAAATACTGTAGAAAGAGAATGATAAGTATTTTTTATTTAATTAAAAAACTCTTAGAAGAGATGGGTTGTGAAAAGAGCAAGCTAGTTTATCTAAAGATTTCTCCACAAACTCTAGAGAATTATGAAAAGTGGTGGAATAGTTATATTAGTTTAAAAAAATCATTGGATTAAATATATGGATTCAGAAACTAGATGTAATAGTTTTAAATTTATAAAATATCCGAAGATGGAGATTTTTGAAGATTTATATTTTGATGTTAGACTTGTTTTAAAAAAATATGAAGTTTATCAATGTTTAAAGAAGTAGTGTTGTATTTATTATCATTTTCTATTTAATTTAAATAGAACATTAATATTGGTTTAAAGAAATAAAATTAAAAATAAACTGCAAGAGAAATCTTTTACTAATTATCAATTAGGAATAACGTTAAACTCATACATCGATGAAAAATGTAATGTATGGTTTCAAGCTAAACAAGTTGCTCAGATACTTGGTTACAAAAATACAGAACATGCTATAAAGAGACATGTAAGTGAAAATCATAAAAGAACTTTTCTTTTTTGTTCCCCGCCTGAAACGGGCGGTCAACAAAATGATACTAGAGGAAAATATTGTTTATTTGTCGATGAAGCCGGTTTTTACGAATTAGTTTTTAAATCTAGATTCCCAAGTGCAAGAATATTTCGCGAATGGGTCTTTACCATAGTACTCCCATCTATAAGAAAATTCGGTTATTACAAAATGATTGATTCAAGAATAAAACAAAGAGTAATAATTGATGGAAAAAAATATTATAAACACCCAGTGTTTTCTAATTATGCTGCATCTAAAAATGGAAACGTGTTAAGTTTAAGATCTAAAAAAATTATTAGTATGGTAAAAAATGGTAGTGGTTATTTATATTTTAATATATATGATGAAAAACTTGAAAAACGTAAAAATTACACTCAACACAGATTTGTTTACGAGGTTTTCCGAGGGCCAATTCCGCGATGTTTTGAAGTTGATCACATCAATGAAATTAAATCAGATAATAGAATAAAAAATTTGCAATTACTTTCACATAAACATAATATTGAAAAAAGTAAAAATAGACCAATTATTTCTATTAATATTGAAACTGGAAAAGAAAGAAGATATAATTCTATAAAAACAGCTGCGATTCAATTCGATATTAGTGCTGGTAATATTTCTAAAGTTTGTAGGAAAAAAGGTAAATCATTATCATCTAGAAAAAATGGTAAGAAGTATATATTTAAATATTTAGATTAGTTTTCAATATTTATTTAAATATTGAAAACAGCTAAATCTAAAAAAGATAGAAAAAATACACATTCAAATATTTATATTAATTAGTATTTTAATCTTTAAACCTTTTTTCTTGATCTTGAAATATTTTCTAAAATATTTTTAATACATCTATAATTTGAAATATCCTTTAAAAAGTTTTCTACATTTTTCAACAATTTTTTCATCAATATCAGCTCTTTTTGGATCTGTACAAAAAAAAGACAATAAGCATTAGCTTTTTCTACTAACAATTCATCATCATCTTCAAGTATAGAATCAACTTTTTACAAATTTCTCTACCTTCTAGAGCTAAAGTTGATTCGTAAGAACTAATTAATTGTTTATCAAATTTTTCAAAATGATCCATTCTAATCTATGTTTATATTAAATTTTTACTATATCTGCTAGCAAATCTGTCAGCTATAGGTGTTTGATCAATTATCATTTCATCTACCAACTTCATGCGATCACCAAACTCTTGTTTATTAAACTCATCACCTCGAAGAGCTGCACGGAGTTCAACGAGTACCTTTTCATAAGTAGTAAATGCAATCCTTGACATGTCAATTTTTCTCTTGTAATTATTTTTTTTTTCCAATTACTGCCACTACAACTCCAGCACCATTTACAACTCCTGAGAACAACAGGGTTTAGGGTTATTCCACCAGAAATAGTTCCAATTGCAACCAAGCATATTCCAGAGATTGTAAAAACATCATCAAGAAATTTTTAACTCTTTTACGATTTCTTAAAACACCAGTATTTCTTATGGTAGTGACTATAAAAGTCTTTTAGGGTTGTGACGTCTGATTCTGACAGAGATTTATCAATGTGATTAAATTCAAATATATCCTTCATTTATATCTATACTATATAAGATCCACTTAACTTTTCTTGAAGCATTACTTTATGATATTGCTCAGAGTCGGTGTCGTAAAAGTTTGGAGAATACATTAATTTATTTAACACTCCATCTTCAGTAGTAAACTTCCAACGTTGATTAACATTGTATTGAACGGCTGGTATAGTTAATGTTGCGCTGTAGTTACTTATTTTAACTTTTGTGGCATTTGCATCAAAATTTTCTGTTAGCCATAAAACAATTATTTTTCCATTAAATTCACTTAGCATGGTAAAATTTTGAGTTGCTTTGTTGATAGTTAAAGTTACTTTATTGTTTGTTTTATCATAATTTAATTTTAATAGTATGTTATTGTTTGTTGATAAATATTTAGTTAGGTAAAACTCCTATTTCTCCAATGACGAAAAACAATACATAAAGTAGATTTCGAAGAATGTGAAGGAGAAAAAGTAACATCGTAACCATTAACATTTAAGCCATCTTTTTTTTATTCCACTTAGGTCTTTATTAGGAGGTAGTGTAATATTAGGTTTTACAGAATTAATAATAACTCCAGATGAACCTATATTTATTCCTAACTATTAGTAAAGTCATAGACCTCACTAAAGAATAATCTGTACAAAGAATTTTTAGTAAAAGGAGCTAATTCTTTTACTAATGCAACTGTTGCAGCACTATTATCATTTTGTCGGTCAAGTTTGGTATTTTTAATTTCTTTTTGATTTGCATTTATATCAACATTATACACCACTTCTGTTGGTTTGATATCAAATGCGGTGTGATAGTCGTAAACTTTATCTGGATCGATATTACTAACTGTACCCACTGTAGGTTTCAAAACGTTCTTCTTGTATCTGTTAAGTTTTCCCGTCTTTAGCCCGCGCGGGACTGGTAGAAGAACTACGTCATTTATATGTCGTTGTAATATTATGGTCTGGGGCATGTGCTCGCTCGAAAATCTTTAGGTAAAGTTCTAGTCGAGTTCTGTTCGTTTACACGGCCTAAAGTCTTTTCACGTTTCCTTCGAGCCTTCAAATCCTGTAAGTATGTTGTCGCTAAGTATTTTCATCTTTCTTCCTTTTATTCACACTCGTTTTGTTTTTCGTAGTCTAACCAGATCCTTGTAACGAATCTTTGGTCCGAATCTCCTTGGAATAAATTCATATGAACATTTAAGTCTACATTTGCGTTAGAAGGATGTGCTGGTTTCGCTGTGGATCGTCTTGGATTTTCGTCGATTGTGCCATGAATTTATCCGTTCTTTGATTGATTGGTGTTATCGATAATTTGTTTCTTCGCTTGTGGATCGATTGTAGAGTAAGATGGACTTACGTGGGTTGAAAACCAAAACTGTCGACGTCGATGGAGCCGTTCACGAGAGAATTCTTCGCTTAAAGCGTAGTAGGTCCGGTTCAAAGGCGGCCGTCACCAGAAGACAGCGCGAATTACTTGAGCTAATGAAGAGCTCTGACAATGTTGATCAGGTTAGAGCGAAGTTTCTTGATTTAGAAGTAGCTATGAGACATTTTAACGAAGCACATGATAAGTATCACGCTGAGTTGACTGATGAAGGTGCAATTCGGGACTCGATCGAGTATTTTGAATCAGTGAAACGTATGGGAACTGCGGTGTTTCAGTCATTTGAGGTCTGGTTGCAATCTGCTCAGTTTAAGCTCCAAGAAGAATTAGATCTTGTTATCAGTCTTCATCCGGAAGACTCTATCAGTAATATTAGTTCTACGAAATCGAAGTCTGCTGCAAGTTCTAGGAGGCGCAAGTCTAAATCTAGCGCTAGTTCCAGTCTCTCACAGTCAAGCACCGCTTCAAGTGCAGGGCTGAGAGCCTCTGCTAAGAAAGCTGCCTTGTCAGTGGAAGTAGCTGCATTGAAGACACGGCAGGACATTCAGTTAGAAGAACTCTTGTTGAAGCAGAAGAAAGAGAATTTTGAGTTGGAAACTAAGTTAGCAAAGGCCGACGCTGAAGAAAAGGTGTACAGTTATTGTGAGGAGCGACGTCTGTCAACACTGTCAAGTCAGTTACCGACT